AGGAGCGCCGGCCCAAACTTCCCGCCTCCGCGCGGGCCCAGCCCGGCCCGCCCGCGCCCCGCCGGGAGACTCGCCTCCAACGGATCCCTCACCCCGCTTCCGCCATCTTTTCTCCTCCCTCACAGGGAGACACTGCGCATGCGCTCAGCCGCTAGGCGGCTTAGACGGGGTGGGATCGCAGGGGCACGTAGTCGCTGCCTTTTCCCCTCTGCCCCCTCTGCGACGTGGTGGGCGGAGCCTGCGCGTAGGGCGGAGCCGAGTCGCCCAATCGCCTGTAGGCGGCGTCGAGCGGTGGCGGCTGGAAGCGGCTGGGAAAGCGGGGAGGAAGTTGAGGTCCGCGCGGCGCAGCTCAGCGCCTGTGGCTTGTTGTACCGCACGTGTCGTAACACGCGGCATAACATGGACATGTCATGTCGCACATAGCGCATAACATGTCACATAAATATATCACACGTCTCACATATAAATCTATCACATAACATAGCATTATATCACAGCATGGGGGATCATGGTTTTCTCTGATAAATCCCTCCTCCCCCTCAATTTTTGGATTAAAAAGGAACCCCAAATCGGCATTTTTCAGTGATTAAAACAAAACACTGATTGATCTTAGATGGATCAATGGATAGCTATATTAGTGGTGTATAGGTTGTAGCGTGTTGGTCTAAGGCCATAGGCAGACAAGGGTCTTTGAGTAAATCTGCTATCTTTTCTTAGAACAACTCAAATAGTTGGAAAAAATTCTTCTTTACAAGCTTTTGGGTATAATGGGTATTTATGACGAAGGGTATTTTTATACCCAAAAGCTTACAAAGAAGATTTTTTTCCAACTATCAGTATATTAATGGCATTTCATTTTAATCAGGGGAAAATGTGGATTTTGGTTACTACTTTTAATCTGAAAATTGGAGATTTTTTTATCGGGAAAAACCAGGATCCCTGCAAATCACATAACATGCAGCATATCGCATCACATCACATGACCTATCACATATCTATACCTCTATATATATTATATATATATATAATCATATGACTTATAACACCACACATATCATATCACATAAAGTACATCATATCATCATCGGGGGGATCTTGTGGCCTGTAGGGGGGATCTTGTGGCCTGTTATAAACTGGTTAGGGGGGATCAGCAGGCGCTGGGGGAGTCCCTGTTCCCCCTAGCGCCGCAAGGAGTGACCAGGAACAATGGTCACAAGCTGGCGGAGGGAAGGTTTAAGTTGGACATCAGGAGGCGCTACTTCATGGTCAGGGCGGCTAGGGTCTGGAACCAGCTTCCATGTGAGGTGATGCAGGCTCCCACCCTGGCGGTTTTTAAGAGGAGGTTGGATGACCACCTTATTGGGGTCATTTGACCCCAGTGCTCTTCCTGCCATGGCAGGGGGTCAGACTAGATGATCTGCTCAGGTCCCTTCCGACCCTAGAAACTATGAAACTATAACATCACACAACATATTTCACACCATATAACGTTACCTAATATCACATAACATACAACATCATATCACATCATAGTGCACACCCTATAACAACCTAACAGTCAAATAACCCCAGCAAGGTGTGTGTCCAGTCTCCTTTTGAAGATCTCCAGGACAGGTGCATGCACCACACTGGCTGGGAGTCTATTCTAGAGTTTGGTCACATGAACCGTGAAGAAGTTTTTCCTTATATCCAGTCTGAAACCTTCTAGGAGTTTATGACTGTTGCTCCTAGTTTTCCCCTGGGGCGCTTTGGGGAATAGTTGTTCGCCTAGCCCCTGATTCCCTCCCCTGATATATTTGTAAGCTGCCACCAAATCCCCCCAAAGTCTTCTCTTTTCCAGGCTGAGCAGTCCCGTATCTGTCAGCCTTTCCTCTTCAGGCCTCTAATCATATGAGTGGCTCTCCTCTGGACTTTCTCAAGCTTCTCCACATCCTTCCTGAAGTGCAGCGCCCAGAACTGGATGTAGTACTCCAGCTGCAGTCTCACCGGTGCTGAGTAGAGAGGGAGAAAAACTTCCTTAGTTTTGCTTGAGATGCATTGGTTGATGCAGCTGCGAGGTGCAGAGGAGAAGGTGCAGCTTCTTCAAAGACTCTTGCCTGTGGCCTGCTTCCACAGGGGCTCTGAGCAGAAGATAATGTGCCCTTTAGCTCAGCCTCCCTTTCAGCTGAAGTACAGGCATGCCGGGACAAAAGATAACAGGCACCATTGGAAAATGCAGGCATTGATCCTGCTATCTCTTGCATACTAAGCAAGCACTCTACCATCTAAGCTAATCCCCCAGCATACTTGTGTAGCCTCTGCCCTGTGACAGGCATGGGGAATGCATGATGTTTTACAATTAACTGGGAGTGCCCTGGATCTTACTGTGGTTTAGGAAGCCCACAGGAAGAGAACTGGGTTCCACAAACTTAAACAAAGCCATAAAGCTATACACGCAGCTTGTGCGTCTGCACTGTCAGTGTGTATTGGCAGGTTTGTTTGTCAGTGGCATTCCAGTTCCATTCATTTGGGCTGGCTAAACTACAGCAAAATAATACAGCAAAAAACTGACAGAAGTCATAGAGATAACGCCTGCCACTTCTATACCCCTTGGGCTGAAATACAGAGGGCAATAAAAACAGCAATCATGATTATTCCTGTGGCTGTACACAGCATGGCAAATATCATAAGAACATCCCCACAATACTGGTATTTTATATTTAGGTTTTCATAACAATTAATATTACATGTAAGATTTCAAAAGATATCTGAGGGTAAACAAATCCCCTTGTTTTAAAATATCTCCAGTCTGCCTCCTTGTTTTACACCTTAGTGACGATGACTGCTAAATGCTGTCTCTCTCTCTCTCTCTCTCTCTCTCTCTCTCTCTCTCTCTCTCTCTCTCTCACACACACACACACACACACACTTCTACAGGTCCGTTTAAGTCAACGGACTTTCTAATTAATTTAACTAAAATATTACACCTAAAATGTGTGTGTGTGTGCATACATATGTATATGTATATCTACATACATACATACATACATACATACATACATATATATATATAGTAGGTATAATATAAACACATAACATGTTCTTAGCTTTTTTTTGAAACAGACATTTTAAAACAAATCACTTGGGGCTGTGTGATGTATTTATTAATTGATTGATTTGATTTGATTTGATTTGATCTGCTTTAATTAATATGCTGTCCTTTCAAACAAAGGCTTAGGATGGATTAAAATAACAGAAGAGAATAATTTATAAAACAGGAGAAGGAACAAGAGAACAAAACAACTTGGAACTGATACATCAACATAAAACAGAAATTCCTGAACCATATCCCAAACTAGCTGTGTTTGCTAAGTTAAGCTTTTTGTGAATTTCTTGAAGTGAATTCCAAACGAGATACTACAGGTGTAATGAAGAACCAACTAGTGACTGAGTGTTTGCACATTACAGTAAGGTCTCCTATAAATCGAAAAATGCCAATGAAATTGCTTTTTCCCAAAAATGCTGGTGTATGATTAAAGTTTTGAGGATATAAGTTAGCTCATTTAATGCCAGATTGCATATCTCTGTACTGCAGTTGGCAGCATTTTTAGTGCAGTTCAGAATTCTTACTTTTATCTCTAGTCTTCAGAAAATGTACGTAATGCTTTAAAAGTGTGATTTTTTTTCATGGGTAATCTATACTTCTAAACAAAAGCGATTAAGTACCAAAATCAAACAAAACAGAGAAAGGATAATAAAAGCCAGAATGTAACTACAACTAGGGAGTATCTGAGTCTAGGCAGGTTGGGAGTAATAAAATGTACTGTGTGGGGAAAATAAGTCAGCTCCAGTTATGGTGAGCTGGCAAAGAGAAGTACAGCAGTTTGCAGTGACTTTGTATGATGAGGAATTTTGCTTTGTAAATTTGACCAGGACTGAATCTTTCATTCAATCATTATAGACTTATAGCATTACCCCCGGGATGGACCTAGATGATTTCTTTTTTATCTATGGTTAAAGGGCAATACACTTTTTTTTTAGTATTAAATAAAATGAGCAAAAAACAGAGGGACTCTGATGCAGACTGTTTCCTGAACTGGGTAAGTAATCTGCTACAGAATAATGCAAAGATAGCAGGGAATAGGACAGTACAGCCCACTGTAGCAGTTATAAAATGCTGGGGACCTGAAGAGTTAAAAGCTAACCCAAATAGTGGACTCAGTTTTGATGATAATGTGTGTTTTGCTGGCAGGTTTACGGCAGTTGTGGCTGATGGGAAACTTGCTACTACTGATTTGTTAGGTGGGGCTACAATGAGAACTTGCGGGGTGGGGGGGAGTTTTCCAATCAGAATAGATGATGATCAGTGATGGAGTCATACTGGCACAGCATGTAGGAGGCACCACTAAGGCGTAAAACAAAGGTTCAGTCTGGAGATATCTTAAAACAAGGGGATTTGTTTACCTTAAGACATCTTTTGAACTGTTACATGTAATAATCATTGCTATGAAATCCTGGACATAAAAAAGTCAGTATTGTGCAGACTTTGTTATGACTTTTGCTATGCTGTGTAGGGCCATAATAACCATGACTGGTGTTTTTGTTGCCATCTGTATTTAACCACAAGAAGTATAGAGGTAGCAGGACTTAGCCAGAGATATGACTTATCAGGTGTTTTGGAAGACCTGAATATGTCCTGAGGGACACATGGACCTAGTGATTAAAGTAAAATTTGCTGTACACCTCAGTTCTACAGGGACAAAAGCTGCAAACATGAAGGTCAGTGTTGAAATCCATGTTAATCTAAATAATATAAAATAACATTAGAGCCCTGAAATGATTGGAAAATCATGTCTCTTTATGATTTTGGATGTGGACAAAAGACTAATGTGGATATACCTAATTGCATCTTGTCTAGACAGCAGGGAGACCTTGGCAGAATTTAAGGGTTAAGACAGTGTTCTGGACTTTGTCAATACATTTATGACTATGTGGTTAGAAGAATGATTTCAAAGCTTACATTCAAACATTATGCAATGTGTTTGTCCTAGGTGGCTGGTAGGAAAGCTGCATGTAGAATGGATAGCTCAGAGAAATAAACTAATGAGCAAAGGCCTTGGACTTTCATTGTATCGACTCTAAACTTAGCATGAAGCTCAGTAGAAGTCAAAGACCATGGATTTTGAAAGGGCCAAAAGCT